GGACACCATCTTTGACACACCATATTCCACACACCACTTTGTCACCCACCATCTGTCACACACCATCCTTCACACACCACTTTGTCACCCACCATCTGTCACACACCATCTTTCACACACCACTTTGTCACACACCACCTGTCACAGACCATCTTTGACACACCACTTTGTCTCACACCATCTTTCACCATCTTTCACCACACCATCCTTCACACACCACTTTGTCACACACCATCTTTCACACCACCATCTTTCACACACAACTTTGTCGCACACCACCATCTTTTACCACACCATCTTTCACACACAACTTTGTCACACACCATCTTTCGCCACACCATCTTTCACACACACCACTTTGTCACACACCATCTTTCACACACAACTTTGTCACACGCTCTCTTTCACACACAACTTTCACACACACACGCCATCTTTCACACAAAACTTTGTCATACACACCATCTTTCTTTGTCACACGCCATCTTTCACATACAACTTTGTCACACACAGCATTGTTTTACTTCTCGATCCTCCACCACCTCCTTTGTCTTTCCTTCCTTCCCCGTCCCCGCTACAACATTTGGTGCTCATGATTGGAAAAAATGCCTTGTGGGGTTATCCGGTCCTTTAATTCATCAACTGCGGCAGCCAGGTTTCAGGGCCCACGGTGCAGGAGTATGACGCCCCCAACGTGGTGATGCGGGACTACTTGTGCTGTGCGGCCAGGGAACTTGGAGCAGCAAAGTCTGCGTAGCCACTAGTGAACCAACAGTGAACCGACAGTCAGTCTTTGAGGTTTTGGTCTAAAGGGCAGGTGTAAAAACTGTAACAACCCTGTGTTTTAAAAGCACAACTGATGGGAGCGAAAAGGCGGTAAAAATTCGATTTGGATTCAGACTAAAGATGAAGGGCTTCAAGCGGTTTCAACTCTCCTCATTTTCTGCCTTTCGCATCCTTTCGCACATTTCCCATATCGGCTAGGCTGTATTGGAGCAACGGCGCATGCGGGCGGACGACTTGGGTTTGCCAGCGCCGAGGGTCTTGGCACCTCGGAAAGATCAGGGCATGTGCAAAGCTGCCACAGGCATGGCCACAACTGAACATGCGACTGAGGGTCCAAGTATCCCAAGTATCCCATGCTCAGACATGTTTATCATGCTTGGATTGTGAGAGTCATGACCCGACTACAAAATCCTGGGCCTGACAAACCATTGCCCACAGCCCCGGAAACACCCCAGCCATGGCATGCCTTGGCTATTGAGGTTTGTGGGAATGCCTTTTCAGGGAAAAGTGCTTTGTGTCAGGCGCGCCCGGTGGAACCGATGGCTTGGCCCTTGAACCTTTGCACAGACGAAGGGCTTGGGGCAAAGAGAAGTATTGTGAATATTATGAATGAATGTCCATATATGCGGCTCAGAGAAAATCCAAAATCCAATCCTGCCAGTCAGACAGAGTGGCCATGAACACGCAGCAACATGTGTGCCCAATCCCCAGTCCCCTGTGCCAGATCCTTTGCAACTACGCACTGAGACGGGTCTGCCTGGCAAAGTGCTCTGTTGTTCGCAAAATTTTGTTGCTTTTGGTCACTGACTGTGGACAGACCCAGCAATCCAGCATGATGTTTCCGGATCCTCTCTGCGCTGGATGTATAGCTGGAGTGGCTATGAATTTATCGAAATTTCTTCATATCTGAAGTCATCTTCCGTGCATTTTGCGGGTGAGGCCCTGAGGCTCGGTGCTCATCCGGTGCTCATCCGGTGCTCATCCGGCGCTCCGTTGATTGCGCCCGAAAGCCAGGAATACACACCCATTTTCGTTGACCTGGACACGCGCTACTCCAACATTCGTCAGCTGCAGGCCAGCCGGCTACATCTGTCATTGGCTCCTTTGACACTCTTTGACTCATTTGAGGCTCATTTGCATCTTGGGTGAATCTTGGTATTGCTTGTTATTTGAGCAGGTTTGGCAGATTCTGGCAGATTCCAGTATGGAAATCCAATCCTGACCAGAAATTCAAAGACTGGCTGCTGGATTTCCCAAGCTCGACTGCCAATGTACTTCCAGCAGATGCAGGGGACATTTTTGGAACGGAATTGGAAGGTGTTGCTGTTTCCTCTTGTTCCCAAGCTGAAACATGAAGCTTCGCAGCGATTTGGCTGAGAGCCGCTAGAAAGTGGCACCGCTTCTCGAAGTGAGTTATCGGCGATGCCATGGAGTGGGACTGATGACTGGGACAAAGCCTTTGTGGTTTGTGCCGGTGTTGCGGTGAGTGCAGCAGTTCTTTGGGGACTCTGTCATGCTGTTGTAGAGAGGAGGCTCATTTGCAAAGCCATTCTGGCTTTCATCAAAGGCCTGTCAACCTGTAGATCCAAGAAGAACCAGGCGGAAGTGAAGTATTTGGATGAACAAGTTGCACTAGAGAAGAAGAATTTGGCTCAGAAGGTTCCTCGTGCATCAAAAAAATACAATATGCAGTTATACAATATAGTGGAATTAAACACTTTTCACTTCAAGATTATATACCAAGCAGTCTGTTTGGTATGTTTGGTCCTACGAAAAGCCGTTGAAGAAGGGCTTGGTTCCCCTCCAAAGGTTTTCTTTGTGTTCCTTTGCCTCGCTGTGTACAATCTGGCAACCATTCTCTACAACGTGTTCATGGAGAGACCTCGCTGGATGTCCACAGGCCAGAGCAAGACAGGGGATACACTGCGAGTAGAATGAAGAGGAAACCATCGCACCAGTTGTGCATAGTTGCACCAGTTTTTCATGTTCCCCGCCTGTTTGACCCATGACAACGAAACTTGCATGGGACCAGGGCAACAGCCGTTGAATGGGCAATGCTTCTTTGACTATGATCCTATCATACAAGGACTTGCATTTTCCATGATTAAACCCAGTTCTTTTTTTTTTTGCGTCGGGTGATGGTCAACCAAGATGGAAAGGATTTGCTAATTCAAACGAATCCAAGTCCTATGAACATCTATGAATGAGATGAATGGCCAAGATGATGATCTCCAATGCAAGGTGCTTGACCATTGGTTATGCGGGGCGCACAGGACTTGCAAAGTTACCGCGGGGTACTGCTGCCATTCGTGCTGGGTCATTGGAATGTTTGAAGATGTTGGCGCCAAACCCCATGTTCGCCCATTCGCAAAGAACGCACCCAAACAAGATCATGTTATACTTGTCATCAGAGGATGAATGAAAACACTGGCTATACGCAGCGATTTTGACTGTAGGTCTAGGTTTTTAGGATTTGGGGTTTTAATTTAGGGTTTAGTTTTAGGCTTTTAGGGTTTTAGGCTAAATTTAGGGTTTTTGTTTTTTTTGTTTTGGAAAATAAAAAATGCTAGCCCTACGCAGGGATTTGAGCATGTCAAAGGATACGCGGGATCTGATGCGGGCAAACGTGGGGTTTGCAGCGAAGATGTTTAAAGGACAATGGCCTCCTAGTCTTACCTTACACAATGCAATACTCACTTTGTTTGCTGTATGGTTTGGGGATGTTTGAGGTCTATGCCCGTCAAGCGGCAACATTTCTTGGCCACCCAGCCTCCTAAAAACTGATCCCTTGGTCACTCTCTTGGTCACCCTGATACCGCAGGCGGTTGTTGGCTGCTTGCGATCGGAACCATTGTGCTATTGCTGGCGCATGTTCCTTCAATGCTTTCAGTCCGCAGCGTGGATTTTTGGTCAGCACTGCTACAACTCTTCGTGATCGCCTTCACTTCTCCACTCGCGACTTCCGTGGATGAAGCATTCATTTCTGCTGTGGGTCTTTTCATGGTAGTGTGTCTTCCCGCAGCTGCCTGCACCACGCGCAGCTGTGTGCTTCTTTTCTCCCAGTTCTTATTTGTCCTTGCCTCGATAGCACGTGTCGTCATCGATGACGAAGAGTTTAAACTTGCATCTCAGTGCAGTCAGTTGAGCCTGGGCGTTTGAATTGAGTCAAACAGATTTCCATCCAATCTCTTGCTTCCGTTTTAGAAAAAATCTTCAGTGAAGAAAGCCGGGGAGTCTCTGAATTGATCGGTTGCCAGGAACAATCCCACCACCTACGTCGTGTGCCATTTGTGTTTCGTGCCTTTGGCTTTCTGTGTCTCGCACTGGGCGCATCAGTTGATGAAGAACAGGATTATCGCCCGCTTCAGGTTAGGATTGGGACGAAAATACGAGCATTGGCAAGCTGTCCTGATAATACACGACCGAGATGGATATGGACTGATAGACTATGCTATGCATATCTATGCATGACATGCTTCATGTAAGTCCATATGCACTTTAAACATACAGTATACAGCCATTAGATTGTGGAACCAACTTTCTTGCTCATCCCATCTTTTGTAGCTGCTTGTGACGCCTTTTTCCCTTTCCTAGACATAACGCACCCTACACCGAACATGAGCCAACGCAGGGAAACCAAGAGCAACACCCAGCTGAGTGCTGCGACAGCTCTGCTGGATCTGACCTGTGATGCCGTTGTGGAGCTGAATGGCGACTTGCGCCTGGTGTCGCACAGCAGCAAACTCGCGGCTGTCCTTCTGCGGAATCGGCCAGGTGCCACGATGGAAGGCACGAAATTCACAGATCTGGTGGCACCCACAGATTTCGAACGTGTGACCGAGCTCTTGCGCCGGGACTCTGGTGGCCGCACCTACGCCACTGCGTTCCGCATGCATTTGGTGGACAGCTGTGCCAGCAAGTTTCAGACAGAGGTCTTTCAGGTGAAGTACACGACAGCTGGTGGCCAGAAACGCCACATCATTGGTTTGAGGCAGGATGGAGCCCAGGTGAAGTTTGCTTGTGTCTGGATGTGTTTGGCAGTTTGGTTGATACTTGATACTGTTTGTTGTGATTCAAGCAACACAGCATCCCTTGCAAAGCCCCCAGCAAAGCCCACATTTCCCGCGAAAGAGTCTTCCCGTGTCTACCCTCAGGGATTGCACCGACCTGCAGCCTCTGGCTGTCGAGCATGACACTTCTTCTGCTGATCAGTCCATGATTCGCCGATCAAACTCTGTCAGTCGCCAGCTATCAGAGCTTTCAGAGGTTCAGGTGACAAACTCCGTCTCGGAGGATTTCCTTCCAGCTATGAGGCAGAGCTTGAGCCGAAGCTCTTTTTCCAGCAACAGATCGTTGTTTGGCACCGAAAGAGTGGAAAGATTAAGTGACAGAGTGGATAGAGTGGATAGAGTGGATAGAGCTGAACGTCCTGAACAATCTGAACAACGTGAAAGATCTGTGAAGATCAAGCACAAGGATGCCTTCTTGGAAATCGATCCGGAGGAGGAGCTCGTGAAATGTGCGTCAGCTCCTTTCTCCGACCTCGCCGGTCAAAAGCTGTCAGAGATTTCTTTTTCCAACTTCGCTCTTCAAACCTGCCAGCGCCTTTGCAGGGATGCCAAGGCCTTCAACTCATCATTCTCTACTCAAGGGACTGAAGTGAAATTTCCTTTACCAGATCAGATTGCAACATTTGATAACATGCCTTTGCTTACGGCTCCACGCTTAGTGGAAGCAACGGGCTTGATGAAGGTCTGTTGTACAGATCTCGGTTCCTTGCATGTAGTCATTTGCGTGAGGCAGAGGAGGATCTCCTCGAATGTGGCAAATTCTCCCGAAAGCCCTCGCGGAAGTAGTAGGTCCGAATGGCCATGCTCCCTCTATGCCCAGGGATGTCAGCACCTTCGGTAATCATCTTGCGATTTTTTCTTGATATTTTTTGCACTTTCATTCTTTCTGTATCAATTCCAATCTGACTTTGGAAGCTGTAGAGGCTGGAGGCCTACTGGGTTCCAATCCCCGCATGTCGCCACAGCAGCTTAAGGAGGTGAGAAAAAAATCCTGATTTGCTGTCACACAACCCACACGGCCCACGCGTCATGGTATTGTTGTTTTTTTGTCGTCTTGCTACTGAGGTCGATTCTGCTAGTGATTTTCTCTGCATTTTGCAAGCATAGCTTGTTTGGTTTTGTAGGATCGGATTCGTATTAACATTATTAACATTGACTAATTGGGCTCATGTTCCTGTGCAAAGTGCAACCTTCAAGACAATTCTGAAGCAGTCTTTTCAGAACACGCAGGCAAGCCCTTGCGCAGAAACACCGCGGGCTTGTCAAACTGTATTTATATATATATTATATATAATATAACACAAAATGCGAATTTCTAAATTCTGTGAAGCACCACAAGCCCACCTGGAGGTTTAGTTATCAAAATAGATTTAATTGTTGGATTTCAATCTAATTAGGCCTGCAACTAAGGATACTATTTCGGGCCACGACGATAACCTACGGTTTTGCAAAGGTTTGAACTCAAACCTCCTATCCTTCGATATAATTATACCCCGCTTGGTCGAGTGTCCAGCCTGGTACTGGCCGGAAAACCCTCCAAACCAAGACGCAACTTTCTGGCACGGCAGGCAATGCCGGCTTGTGTGACAGCCATGACAGTGGAACATGCAGCAGATGAGGAACAGCCAGTGGGGGCGATGGCCAGAGCCGGGGTGTCATTGCTCCCCCATTCCTCTGGATCTCGGGTATTGTAGTGGAACATGTGACACGATTGCTGATACTGATATGACATTGATATCATTATACTTTATCCATTATAGCGCCGTTTGGAGCCTTTGAACTGGAAGTGCAAGACTGGAAGTGCAAGATCTTGGGGCACCGCACTTAGGGAGAACAGGTGACGGTTCTTCCAGCCTCTTCCACAGGAGCCTCTCAACCGGATTGCGTACTTCTTTGGTCACCTGGATTGGAGTCTGGAACTCAGAATTTTAATGAAACATGCTGAAACATGTACAAATCTGTACAATCTCAGCTGCAGTGACGGAGTTTAGTGTCCAGTGTTGCTGAGGTCTCCTTATGTAAGTACCAGTCATTACCAGTTCATGTCACTCATATTGGAACGCCACAGATGCGTTCAGAGTAAACAGCTTAGCACATCCCATGCGACAACGAGAAGAAACTGAAAAGAAACTGAAGAAACACTGAAATCAGAGTCTTGCGATGTTTTGCATACCGTAGCACTGTCTACACTTTGTCCACTTACGGTCACCACACCATCTTTGGGGCCGAGGTGACAACCCCCGTTGGTATCAAAGAGTTGTTTCGCATCTCAGTCGAGTGGTCTCTGCCAAGCTACTGGACAGCATTGCGGTGTTGGGACGTTGCCGAGGTGCCCTTTAGACTCTTAGACTCGAAGATCGGACTGTTTGCAAATAGAAATGCTTAACCACAGACCAATAGTGAAGTTTCTTGTCAATATATTCACCTCCAGAAAGGCCCCCTTGCAACGTCGCATGAAAAAGCATCTCAAAATCTTAGAGAAGATTACCTCTATCTGTGCTATGGGCACTAGGTCTATTGGGGAACACAGCAGAAGTACATCGATCATTGCTAGGTAGCACATAGTCATATATATATATAATTACATAACTATAATTATAATCTTTGAATCCTGGGATTGAGAAGTGAATATTGAAGGCGGTTGTCTATTTCGGAAAAAGCAGCGATGCAAACAGAGTGGCAGGCTGTCACACGCAACCTCAAGAGAAGCTGACGTGGCCTGTTTTGGGGAAGAGCGGAACGTTCTGGCATTTTCCCACTGAAGTTTATCTCCATTCCAGGGAGACGAGGGAGCAATTTCTTTTAGGAGTGAAACACCACTGACGGGCGGCCCAAGTGTAAGAATCCCACGCCACAGGATGTATCGACTGTATGGATACATTATAGTGGCCAAGAGTATGTCCCAATCTGCCGTATGATATGATGCTGTTTCTCTCGAAGATGCTGATCCCAGGCTTTTGCTGCAAACTGGCTCACAGTGACTCACTCTGTTTGAGGTAAATTAATGCACCCGGTGTAAATAAGGCATTTGGGTCTCACACTCCAAACATATCCAAACCCTCTGAACCCTCTGCCAGGGTGCTCGAGTTAGCTCCTCCGGCTTGGTAGTGAATGCTCCGTTTCAGCCAACTCCAGTGCGGGTCCCGGCTGCACACCAACCCCATTGAGAATGGAGGCAACGCAGATAGGTGACACACACACAAAGCTTTGAGCGAGATTCAATCGGGTTAGGAAATGCTAAGACACTCAAGACTCAAGCGTCTACCGTTTGTTGAGATATGTTTAGATGGATTATTCGGTGAACTCCAAGTCCATCCCTGGTCACAGATTGCCCTTGATTCGTTCAGGCTTTGCTTGAGAAGATCGTGGAAATGTTTGAGGCCCCACACATTTGCTCCTTGGGAAATGCATAGCAAAACCGCGCACCACCTGGCAGATTGATGTCGTCCTGGTGTTGGACAGCGAAGGGCTGCATGCCAGTTTGTGCAAAATGTGGGCGGCTCAAGGGGTGATATGGAGTGATCAGGTGGATGGAATGGGTGAGATGTGAGATTTTGGAACGAAATCTCAAGAAAGTGCGAGGTTTGTAGGAGGAAGGGCCTCAAATCCAAGGAAGCCCAGAAGGATCATGGATGCCATGCAAAAGGAGAAGCAGTCAACCAGGATCAAAGAGAGAGTTCAGATGCATCGAAAGGACCCAAGACCCTTCACACGAATTCTTGACAAATACCTCAAATACCTCCAAGTTCTTCGATTTATGTGGAGGGATTGACCCCTGCTTGGCTGCTGCCCCGTTTTTCTGTTGAACTGCAGCTCAGGTTTGCAGGCTGTCCCAAAATCAATGGCGTACCCAAAGTAGAAGTGGTGCTTCTTCCAAAGGCGTGGCCGGATGTGTTTGAGGAAGCCAGGAAGGAGGAATTTGGATGCACATCCAGTCTCGAGGGCTTGGACCTGTCAGCTTGGAGTCTCAGTTTGGACTCTGTCATGTCATTAGCTGGAGACGAAATGCAGTTCGGTCCGGTTCCTAGACGGTGCCAGGCAGGAGGAGTGGTACAAGCGCCGCAAAAGCGAATCCGCTACTTGAGAGTTGGGATGCCCAAGCTACGAAGATACAATCGATTGCAGATGTCTTTGTCTTCCGTTTGGCATCCAGATCATAGCCTCCAGAGTTGAGCAGCATCCGGTGACATGAATTTGCAGAGAGCATGAAAGACAAAGTGGTAAACTTGGATCTACAGGTAGGATGATCTAGGAATGTTTGGTTCACACTTTGAAAGACTTGAGGTGCTGTGGGTTCTTGGTCCAACTAAGGCGCTGAGAGTGCGAGACTACTTCTATGGTGTAGGGAGCCAAGATGTAAGGCATGAAGGGCAGAAGGTCAAGCTCTCAAGTAACTATTTAAGTAAAAGAACAGAAGACACTTCTCCACCTTGATGTCATGGTGTGCTAGCTGCAAGAATCCTGGATTGGTTTCTTTAATCGTCTCTCCGACATTGCTCAGAAAAGACACGGCAGTGTCGCCTTCGTTCAGGTCATGAGGGACTTCAGTCCTTTCTCCGTCCTGGTCGATCTCAGCGACGCAAGTTCATCCCAGGGTTGGTGGCATCGCTTCGCAGGATTTCATTACTTCAAGGCCTTTAAGGCCTTAATGAATATATTAATGAACATATTAATGAACATATTAATAAATATAAATCACAGTGGAATTTTCGTTTTGATAAACATCTGAAATGCGACAGCTGTTCAGATATCCCACGGGCAAATCAAGACTCTGTACCTAGGTAGTTCCACAAGCATCAGACGGGTCATACACGCTACATGTATGATCATGTATGATCATGTATGATCATGTATGATCATAAATGCATGTAATTTGTATGTGTATATATATATATATGTAGGATCCAAATTGGTCAAATAAGCCATGTGTCTTGTGACGAAGCCTCAGGGGGAAATGTTCGTAGGTTGACACAGGTTGACGATCCTTTTCACACTCATTCTAATCAGCAAAACATGGCAAATATGGCAACCTATTTTTCTGCTTGTCCGACAAACTGACAAATGGCTGTTGCAGTTTTGTATTGTGTTGGCTGCAGTTGTTGTCTCGGGCAGCGTGTTTTGCAGTGAAGCTCAGGTGCAATTAGTGCAAGTTGAAACTGCAACATTGTCGGCTTCCATGTTGCCCTTGGGCCAGGACAGCAATGCACAATGACTCTGGATTACATGTAAGCTGTAAGATGGTGTGATGCTTGGCAGATGGGATAGGATGAAATCGAATGAACGCCACCAGAATTGTATCGACTGTCATCAACCTTCGTCTATCTCAATGTATGCATATATAATATATGTACCTCATGATTGTGGTGTGCAGCAAGGCTTTAACAACTCACGCCAACGCCAGACACCTCCAACCCACACTACTAATGGGAGTCTGCAGCATTTTCAGGAGGCGCAGAAATCAGTGGACTTCATCGTCCAATCCCTGGTGTCAAGCTGTGCCCAAATACCATTCAGAGCTTCAGTATGCTTCAGTTGAAATTCACAACTGCATTCTGCTTGCAGTTTACGAAGGGCTCAAACTCTCCTTAGCATTTGGGGAGGAAGCAAAGTCGACAAGTGCTCCCCGCAGCGAAAACTCTACCGCTGGTAGAGGATGGTGTCAACATCTACGACCAAACCTATTTGCGTGCCTTTCTGCTTCCTAGGTTCTAGTACTCCCAGACACAGACACACACACACACACTGACACTGCAGACGAGACACACACACATGACACTCTAGTGCAGATGCTTACCATACGCTGCCACAATTTGTTAGCGTTCATCACAAACACCATTGGTTGACCCTATACATAGCCAGACCGTTTCGTAAGCCTTGAGCCTAGCGATTTGATGTTCAGAGTCTCGTAGTTGCTTTTGTGAACCTGCGTGTCCCACGTCAGCGCCATGCCGCGGCTGTATGACATGCGAGAGCCATACCGGGATCAAGATCCACATCGGCAAGAGAAAAAGTTTAAGGACAAAAGTTCTCCAAGAGTGTTCCAGACCTGGAGTGATTGTGACAGAAGGCTCTTCTTTGGGATTGCGAACCACTTTAGGGTGAACTCCGGTTAATTTGTTTGTTGATTTGTGTCAATCTCATTGGAAAGAACGCCTGGCGGATGTGGGGAAACAATGACCACTCAATAGCCAGCTGAGTGGAGGACCAGCAGCACAAAGAGCATCTGACCTTTCGCTCGTTCTGTACGGGACAAGGTCTGCACAGTCAAGGGTAGTAGAGTTTGCTGAGGGGAAGATGTCAACTGTCGAGCAGAGCTACATGCAGGGTGAAGGAGGAAGGACACACGCACACACACACACATTTCAACTGGTTTCCTGTTTTTGTGTTAAGATGTGTTAAGATGTTGGTCTTGATTATATTGGTCCTAGCTGTCCCAGCTTTGCCACGTATAGCCTGTATAGCTGTTGTTGAAAGATGTTTAAAGCAGGTGAGAATGAGGTGCTACCCAGAACTGTTGAGAGACGCCGCCAATGCCCCAAGTTTTCAATGCAGAAGTGGATACCTTGGAAGGTCGAGACGTTGGAGCCACGGCCTTCTTAGCTCCCCCTCCACGGCGACCTGGTCTTGTGGTGGGTACGGGAGCCGTGCAGGCGGATTCTATCGGATTCTGTGTTCTGGACATTTTTGGACTTTTGGAGTAGAGACAAAGATGCTGCTAATATTCAGATACCTCTATGCTATACATTGCTATGCTCTATCCAGTTCCTCATTGTTCGTCTTTGAGACGTAACCTTTTAGATGCTTAATCAGGTGAGCTCTGATGTTTTTGAATTCGCGTGACAGGTCTGAATCTCAAAAATCGCAAACTATTCAGTTGAGATCGTCCTGTGTCAGGAGCCTGGTGGCATGGGTGCGATAGGTGCTCATCTTGGCGAGCAAGTACTGCTTCAAAACATGAAGCGGCGGCAAGACCTGAACGGCCTCGCTGGCACCGTGGTGTCTGTTTGGAGCTCGGAGCCATGTAGGGATGCAGTACCAGACACAACCCATTTTTGACACAGGCAGCAACTGCTTCTTTTCTTTTCACGCCTGAGTTTTTTGGATCTGATGACAGCTGCTGCTATGTATACTGTGCCTGACTAGGACAAGACAGATCAATTTGGACGTGTCTACGTGAACATCAGTCAAAAGGACGCTGAGCCTCGCGTAATCAAAGTGCTGCCTGAGCGGCTTTATCGCCAAGGATGGGATGATGGAGCCGCTTTGCATGTGTTGATGATGTGTTCTGCTTGCAGGGCTGTCCACTGTTTAGAGGGAAAAGATATGTAGTGAATCTAAAACAATATATCTATATATATATATTTATATATATATATATATAAACATATTTTTAAAACACCGGGAGCTGCGGGAGCTGCCAGGAACTTGTTGACCCACACCAGTCCCCAGGAGATGAGCGCGATGGCATCCCCAGCTGGATGCCCAAAGGACGAGAACCGACAGATCCGTTGGGTGCCAGCTTTTGGTCGTCTTCGGGCATCCGCACGGGCTTCCCAGGTGCACAGAGATGCACAGAGTCGTAAACACATATGACACGAGTGATCTGCTGGGTTGTTGCAGGAGATTTTGTTGGCAAATTCGTTGCCATTCGTTGCCGTGCTCCGTGTCAGGCTTTGGAATTATGCAGGAGAGTGCAACAAGAAGGGCGTGGCTGTGGGTGCTTGCGCAGGGTTTCTCAACGCTTGTCCAATTTCGAGAGTTGTCTAGCCTTCGAAAGGCAGACATCATGACATGTTGTCACCCACGGGGGGTCTTTCAAGCGATTGCCCAGAACTTCGTGGAGTTGAGATCACCGGTGCTCGCTGTATGGTGTGCTGCAATGTTTGACCGGTTCGCAATGGTGAAACCAGTGGAGAAACAACGTGAAACAACTGCTTTGTAATTTTTAACTTATGTTCAACGAGCTCAGATTTAGGCTGCACAGGTACAAATCTTTTGAATTGCTATGGGTTGTGAACAATCTGACTCGCAGCTGTGCGGTTCCATCAACAGTAAGTGACTTTATTCCACTCCAAACCTTCAACAGAACGACGTCTTGAACATATTGAGACTTTATCAACTTGTGCAATCTGAACATTTGTGAAACTTTCAAACTTTATTTTTATCGTCCATCGTGTTCATCCATCATCTTTTTCATTTTCTGCTTCATGTTGCCTTTCTGCTTTTGATTCAGCTGGCTACAGGTATCCGTGACCTTACTAGCCAGCTTTTTCCCCGAAACCAGACTTTAGCAACCCTGCTTCTACGAAAGGTGTTTTCGTTCCTGACATTATAATCTATACTACATTCTCAATGTATAATATAGCATATATAATATTAATATATATATATATACATGCATACACCAATAATATGTACATACATATATATATATGCACACAATATATATATATATGATGCACAATATATATATATGTATATATATATGTATATACACAATTATATATATATATGCACACAATATATATATACAATATGTATATATATATATATTCATACACTATCTATCTATCTATCGATCTATCTATCTATCTATCTATCTATCTATCTATATGTATATGATTGTGAACATATAACTTGCAGCATATTATGAATATTAGCTGCAACGCAGGAGAAGCCGTGGCAGTCGCAGCCAGATCTCCGGGAGAAGTTCCAAGAGCTCGGCCGCGTGTCGCACCGCTCCTACGTGCGCACGGTGCCTTGGCTGCAGTATAGCACTTTATAGAATCAATGCTGGTTATTATATATATATATGTAATATAAGGTATATATATATGTATATGTAATGTTTAGATTATATATTATGTTTTATATTTTATATAGGTGGTTATTTCTTAGTTCTGTTTTTGTTATTTATTAGCTGTTCATCTTTGTTTATCGGATATATACATTTGCATCAACATATATTGACCTGGACAAGGGAAAAAACGACTAGAATTATGAATGCGGTTTTACCCCATTTTGACTGGGACAATGACATGCGGACTGTGTGGAGTGGAGGCAGTGTTGTTTCTGGATCCAACATGCAACAGTTTCATGCAGCGGTCTCTCGGAGCTCCTTCGCACATTCAGCAACAAATGGGGAAATAAAACTGGACATGAACAGGACTGATGGTGGATCCTTTTTGCTTGGCTTACTCGTTCGTAAACAATTTTTCTATTCCTCTATCCCTCTGTCGATCGATCCATCGATCCATCGATCGCTTGCTCGATTGATCTATCTATCTCTATCTATCTCTATCTATCTTTATCTATCTCTATGTATATCTATCTATCTCTATCTCTCTATCGATGAATCTATCGATCTATCTATCTATCCATCTATCTATCTATCTATCTAATCTAATCTATATAATCCAACCTTATCTTATCTTATCTCATCTCATCTAATCTTATCTATCTATCTCACTATCTCTATCTCACTGTCTCACTATCTCATTCAGGGTGGTGCGTTCAATTCTCCGCAAGTCGCCTTAGATAGCCTAGAGTATTTGCAGCAACGATGCAAATCCTTTCTTCAGGTGGTAGATCTAGAAGATACGCCTCAGTTTTACCTTTCGTCTAAGGTTGTCCTATGCAGGGCTCCAAATCATAGGATAGTACACATTGTTTTCAGGCCTACCTCCCAAGGTTTCTTGAGATGCAAATCCCAAAAAGGGACAGTAACATCCCTCCACAGAGATGCCTTTGACCCTTCCTCGACTTGTCCAGACTTGTGGTGGCTTTTTCCCGGAACAATCTTCTGAGAGCGTGTGACGATGGGATGCTGCAACTTGCCAGGAATCCAGTTGGACAAGCATCCATAATAACTTTGTTCTTTGTGATTGTCATTATTACCAGGTGACACGGACTGTGTGAAAATCTATTTCCCAAGTCATCCTACAAATGCCCAAAGTCTTTGCCATATTTGGTAGGAACCCTACCCCAGACTGTGGAAACTTCCGTGTTGAAACTCCTGGCAGCTTGCATTCTCCCCTTGCGTGGTATCTTCCGAAGGAAGATACTCAGAGATCTGGTGGCCTGATCCATGGGGTCTAAGTCACCAAAACCAAAGGCCTCTCTGAGACTCTGAGAGGCCTTTATTGGATAATGTTGGATAATGTCAGTTTTCTTGGTCCTGATAGTCCCTGTTGGAGTGCAACTGCTCAGCTATGAAGATAATCAAACATCATCAAACTACTGACGAGTCTTTAACCCAGTCTTTGTCTATTTTTGATTGGCTTTGGGAAAGTTCCCCCAGACCCGGTGATGGCTTCGAGCATTTCTCAGTGAATCCACTGACGTTGCATTCCTTGGAAGCCGACGCTGTTGCGTAAAAGGGTGGAGGTTTCAATTAGGTTTCTATTAAGAAAGCCATTTGTGTAACTGACATCGCATGAGCAAGCAAACTTATTCTCAGGACTCCTACTCTTCAACCTCTCTGATTTGGTGTTTTGTTTTTTTGATGTGGAGGGGGCCAGAGGGGGGATGATTTTTCCATCGACTTAAACTTCGCTCTCATTACGGTAAATTTCAAAACCATTTTCTGATTTTTCAGTAGATTCTTCTGACACCTGCTTGCAAGAACAAGAAACCACGGGCCTGTGCAATTTAATGCTGCATTTCGCTTGACAAAAAGAAGTTCTGATGAGGGTGAAGTGTTCTAGCCTCTGGAGATCTCATATTGAGACTTGGTCAAGACAGACCAAGACAGACCAAGACACAGCCTTTGTGTTCCTTGCTTGTAGTTTTCCCCTCGGGAATGCAGCCTTGTACCATGACATTGGTGAGATTCACAAAGAATACCAATCTCAATCAATGGGTATTCTGCTGTCTGAATTTCTTCTGGAGAGGTCCGACCATTTAGTGGGCAGCCTGCCCAACTGGAGCATGCTTTGCTGGCAGTGGCGTGGGCCCTGGCAGATAGGGCAGGTGGCCGCTGGTGTTGGGTGTCCTGACGTAGGGACAGGCTGTGAACTTGCAAGGCGCAAGAGAAGTAGAAGCTGCTGTGTTATAGGTTTGACATGGCTTAACTGTTTAACTTTGTTCGAACCCAACCTTGCGAAAACCATCTCATGCTTGAGGCTGAGTTTTTTTAATCGATTCAATTCAAAACAGTTTCTTTTTGATCGGCTAGCTTGCACAAGTTTCTCCAGCCCCAGGTTCGAGCAAACAGCATGAATGAGGCAGGGTACCGTGCTCTGCTGCTCCACATAGTGTAGCTGGGTAGTGCCGCCTCAGTGTGTTTTTGTGAACACATTTTGGCTTTGAGAACCACCTTTGGTACCTTGTTGTGCTAGTCAGTTTGGAGCTGGCACAACGCAGTGGCTGGCCACTTGTCCATGGGACATCCCTTTTTACCAAAACTGCGAGGTCCTCTATGCACCAATGTGCGGCCTTGTCCTGGTGACGAAGGCAAACACTTTTGAGGGGTTCCGCACTAGGGAGAGACGGGAGAGATGCCCATGTTGGTGCAGCTCAATCTCACAGCAAACTGCTTTGGAAACTAGTGTAACATAGTGAAACATAGTGAAACATAGTGTAACATAGTGTAACTAAGTACTAGTAACTGGTTTACCTTGCCCATCCTTAACGAGGCGATACCAATAGAATCAACCCCTGTAGAGAGCGTCGAATCGACAGAGACGGCTGAAAGCAGCCTTTGGATTTTGACATCGCAGCGATGTGTAGGTCAGACCCTTGAGTCCTGCGGGTTGATCTGCAGACTTGAGTCCTTACCATTCCTTACCCACTTGCAGGTCGAGGAGCAAGCCCTGCAGTTGCTGTGTCCTGCGCCCCCACCGCTACCAGCATCATATCTCTTGGCCGGTGTTCTCAGAGGGCTTTCAACATCTTCCGACACTCTGCCATACTTAAACATCAGAACAGTTGGGTCACCCGATCTCAAAATATCTCAAAGCCACTGTTGAATGTTGAAATCCTATCTTCACAACGAAATAGGGCCGACGTCTCTTGGGCATGCTGACTTCATGGTGACGGTCATGTTGATTTCAGATGCCTTGTCACAAGATTTTCAAACAGCTTCAACCGCACAAGTTGAGTATGGAGGACCTGGATACCAAAAGCACAGGAAGACCACAGCTCGTCAAGCCGTCCAGGTGGGCGACTTCAAAAACATGAAGTTTATCGACATTTGAGCGCCAAAGCGGTAGCTATGCGGCGCGAGTCGCAATGGAAAAGGCAGCGATGCATCAGCGAAGGGCAAGCCGAGCAGAACACCCATCTCAGCCATTAGCAAACTGTTGCAACCATCCTGGAGATGAGGAGCTAATCAGCGCAGAAATAGAGTTGTTTCAAATAGAGTCAAAGTTTGGCACATGCACTCTTGATCGGGCAGCATCACCATGGAAAGATCCTCCACTTCATACTCAGAGGATCCATTCCATCCATGTTTCTCCTCAGTTCCCCCCATGCCTATATAAACTGTGGGAGATGATGGTTCTGTCCAGACTATCAAAGGACATCATTCAATGCCCAAACCATATCTTGTTTCCGAGCACAACTGTCATGAACTGCGAATGAATACATGACTCATATGAATCGTATGACTTATATAAAATCACATTGATTCACATGACATATAAAGTCATCATAGAAATGCTGCAGTTGGAGCGACCCTTTAGCCGCTTTAGCCTTTGGCTCCAGATCGCTGTTGTGACGCCGTGTGTTGCCGCCGGATCCGTGGTGGGATCCGTTGCGGAGGAGGCGAGCTGATAGCCTAAGGGCAAGGGGGGTTCGGACCCAGTACTTTAGCAGTTTATAGCCGAATAATGCTGGGAATCGAAAAGGGATAGGTTGGGGCGGTGACATCCAGAAAATCAGTTGCCTTCCTCTGAGGTTTTGATCACCCAGCAAATTAAAGTTGTCACTGAGAAGCATTTCTTTATCATTTAGCAGCAACGCTGAAGGATATAACCTTCTGGCGATCTTTAGCTGGGGCTAAGCCTTGCTATCTCCCTCAGCTTTGTGTTTCTGTGTCCGTCTCGGATGCAGGCCATGTGCGAAATGATGATGCAACCGCTGATGAAGCCCTTGCGAATGGTGGGCGCATGGGATCTCAGCGACTAGTTTTGTGTCCAGATCGTTTGGCTCGTCGCCTCCCAAGAGCCAATGCAATAACAGAGGCAACACTTAGACCTAAATCTACTTTGGTCATTTTTGGCCCAGGCATTGGCAGCACTTTTGTGCCGAAATCATTTCTAGGTGCGTCGCAACAACGAAGTTTATCGGATCGTTGGCACAGACTTTATCACCTTAACCCTGAGGATATGTCGCTGGCGGAGTTCAATGGCCTGCTACAGAAGGCGGAGGCCAGGATCTATTAGGACGATTTAGGACGCTCAAAACCTTGGTATCAGTCTACAAATTTGCCCATAGGCATGTTTCCTGACTCGCTTGCACCAAATTGTGCAATGGTGTTTCAGTGCAGCTCAATTTGTCACTCGAAATCTTGGTGCGTGCCTCGATTGCGCAAACATCGCTCAGGGCCGGGATAAGCTAGCACGAATCTTCCAGTATTCTGCGCGGCTGCTGGTTGGCAGTGCGGCATATTTGCAGCCCACTGTTGGGTACCCAACTGCTCAACTTTGGCCAAACGCGCACGAAAACATCTTGTATATATTTGTATATTGTACTTGGTCTTACTTACACTCTCCATCTTGTCAGCACGCTGGAGCTGGAGACAGAAGATTTCCTCATGATTATCACATATCTATCAAGACACGTGCAACGTTTATCAACGTTTGTCATCTTTGTCCAAAGTCACTCCCTGCATGAAGAACCAGGCAACACTGGAGAGTGCTACCATAGGCAGTACATGGTAGTACCACATAGTACCACCCTCAAATGGTCGCAACTGAGGCCGGAACCCTGCTGGCCAGACTGGAAGGACATGCCAGGCCTCGGCATCTCGGGGCGAAAGTCGGTTGTCCGGTTAGCTTGGCATGTCCAATACTGTCCAATACTGTCCAATACTATCCATATATTCGATATACTTCATGGATCTTCACGGAGTATTCCCAGCATTCTGTTGTGAGTTTCACTTAGAGCTTCGCTTTGGGAGCAAAGTTTTGGAAATCCCCCATAGGTCCAAAAAAATGTAGAAGGGACTCCCGCCTGAACGAGACAAAGCACCCTGTGGGCCAACAAATCTGTGCAGAAGCGTCCAAAGGATTATTAGGTTGTGTACATTGTGTATATTGTGTACATTGTGCACTCTAGAAAACCAACTGACAACGAGATGCCAACGAATCACATGCAGTGAGCCAAAATAGTGCATGTCTCGCCAAAATATTTTCCCACTTGCTGCGCATCCACATTGGGCCACACGTTCCACAGAACAATACCAACACTACAGAACATCTCACACAGTAAAACAACGTGAAGCAACAGTTTTGTATGTTTTGGCTTTACATACATTACTATCTGCCATCATTTATGCATATCATGCATGTATATTGATGCATTCTTTGCTATTACGAATTCAGGACAGTGATGGTCCAGCTAGCGAGCGCTCGACGAACTCATCGCTGGATGAAGGACGGCCAGCAATGGTGCACCAGGTCCAATTCCATATCTCATCAAAATGTGAAAACATATGGGATATATTGGGTAATCATATTTGTTTTGAAATGGATCCTTACGTATCCTGAGTTTGTTTGTAAATGTTTGTAAACAACTTGTAGGTTGCCAGAAAGTTGCCCGCTTCCGTGATACAAAGGCTCCTGCCTTGCAGTGCTTCAGGAGCTGCCTGTGATACAAAACCTGCCTCAGCAACTTGTTCCAACTTGTTCCAACTTTTTCCAATTGGGTTCTTGAAGCAGTTTGGAATATGAACATGGGCCGTGAAGAGGCCGGTAGACATCGGTAAACCCGGTAAACGATTCGAGGGGACGCTGCAATGGAAGTTGTGCAGCAGCTCGAAGCTGTTGCTGAGGTCGTTCAAGATAGCTGATCCAGTCGAACTAGTGCTGGATGTTCTGCAGAAGGTAGGGCAAGAATGTGTTGCAACTTGCAAGGACCGCAAGGATTTTACAGCTTTTGAATCCTTCGGTGGGACTGAGCTGGACACTTTGGCTGGATTTTGAAAAGATTTGAAAAGTATATTTGCGGATTGAAATGTAATGGCGATGTTCAGAGTAAAAGCATTCAAACACTGATCTGAGAAGAAACCCTTTGATTGCAAGTGTACAGGCATCTTTGATCTGTTTCCTGATTACAGACCACATTGGTATGTCTGCGCCTTGAATCTCTCCGTCTGGGCGATCTGGACTAGTATTGTTCAGACACTTTTCAGTGTAGACCAGCCTTGAACATCTGATAGCTTGTTCTCCACAGACAATCTGTCCCCACAATCTTTTTTGCCTTTCTTTTTTTAAGGCGGTGAACTGCAGGTGGATTGTAGATGCTGGTGAGATGTTGGTGATGTTGTTCATGATCTATGTGTTGAAGTTGATTCCCTTTCTGGCTGGGCCCGATCTCAGAACCTATTTGGCAAATCTATTCATGAGTCTAAACCATTTACATAAGAGTCTATGAATTCATTCATGGAGGGAATTGATGACTGAACGCCCTGGCACAATGCGTTCAATCAGGTGGATAGGCTATCTGAGATTTAATCCCGGTCCGCATGAAACTTCCGTGCGAGCGGGTCCCAGGCTGAAGCAGTGGAAGATCCTCTCGGGTGGCAAGAGGCACGCCACTCGTTGGACCCCATCTTGACTTCTTAAGTTGGTATCCATCAGTGCACTCACCATGCTGTGAGCTTGTCCCAAAATTCGATCCAACCATGCCACACCATGCCATACGGAAGTACCGAATCGTTATATCTGGCAGGGCAGGCACTGGCACTATCCAATTAGGATTGAAGTCACGGCCTCAGGAAGGATTTCAAGGCATTTCATTTGGCGATTTGGACACCGGCAATCATGAAGCTAGGAGAAATCCTGGAAATCGCTATGCTGCAGCCACTGCATTCCACTGTTGCATCAAGGATTTTCACCTTCTGCAATTTCATGGGGGTTGCCCGGCTGATTTTTTTGTGAAGGTGAGAAAATAAGCTGCAGCGTTGACCAATGCTGACAATAAAGCCAATGTAACTGCTGGCCAGCTCACCCCAGCATACCCACACCCAGTTGTTTGCTGACAACTTCTATGATCATAGTGGCATCTTTGGAAGAGATATATAATATAAGTTAAGAATAATTGTTGAGATGCGATGATCGACTTGTGGAGACCACAGCCGCAGCTGGCACAGCTCTAGGGAACGTGTGGGTTGCCAGGTTCTGTACCAGCTCAAAAAGATCAGGGACATTGGCCTGAAGGAGCCTGAGCGCTTCTTGAACCACATGTTCGCAACCCATCTTGAGCCCGTCGTGTGTCAGGAAGAAAAACGAGACCAGCTTGCGAAGAGTCACGAGTCTTAGCATATCTCAGCCGTAGCAGCCGTAGCCATTTCCCATGGATCGATGCACTGGGAGCTGCCTAGCAGGGCCTATCAGGGCCTGGCCTCCTTCAAATCCTTCAAACACTTTTTGGTAGCGGCACCAGTCCACTTGGTCCAGATCTTGCAACAGGATTCCTTCATATTATACTTATTATATCCTTCGATTCCTTGACTTGATTGAAGAAATCCCTGACAATGTGTGCATCGATGTGATTGCCATGTCAAGAAGCTCTGAGGTTGGGAAGCAGCAGTGAAACATGCGCTTCTGATGATTCAGACTTCTCATTTGTATTTGCCTGAGCTCTGATGTCCTGCCCTTTCCAGTAATTTTGCGCTTTCACAACTCACACGTATTCCATCTTATGCAAGCGAGTGCGCAAACATATGATTGAAGCGCATTGACTTTATTCTCAACAACCTGGCAGGCAGCTGTTGATGGATGACATTCCATCTGACTCCAAGACACACTGCACGGAATCTCCTGTTCCTTCCCCCAGTGCTTTGTGATGTCAAGGTCCCTGCTCTACCAGACACATGATGCCTTTGTCGGGGTTTGTGGCATCATAACAAGCAGTCAGAGCCTCAAGAACTAGACAACAGTTCTGTGGCTAGCCAAGAGAGGCTGAAATTCAACGGTCCAAACGTAACTATGCTGCAGGCGAGGCCCCTGCTCCTTTTGCACAGTGAAATGCTTCAAACTTCATCTTGCAGGGTTTGAAATTTGGCATAAATCCTGGTTTCGCAGAAAACTCGTGTCTGTCAAAGATTCACAATCCGTTGGCAACTGAGGTATAGACTGCTACTCTCAGATCCCATTCAAACCCAAGGCATGCACCAGTACAGTGTGTCTGATAAAAACCTTGCCGACTTAATGGACACCACTGCTCGAGAATGGCTGTTATGCAATTCCGGAAAGCACATCAAATAGATGACATTGAATCAATAGACCTTCGTCATAGTCTCAACTCATAGATCGATTGAATCTGATTGTAGAGTCACAGTGTGCTAAAGTGTTGGCACTCTCCAGAGTTGCTCAACAGCTTAGAATTAACGGCATGGCGAGACCAGTGGCTTCAAAAAAGTATGACACATTCTAAACAAGGAAAGCCAGGAAAGCTGTGCAAAGAACACCCATGACCCATAATCATGAAGGTTCATCCCAAGCATCCAGACGACTTTGCCAAACAGGAAATGAGGGTTCTTCATCCATCTGTCTATACTTGTATAAATTTGTCAATTTAAACTCTTCTAACTTTGTGTGTTTGTTATGTTTGTTCGCAACAGACATTGATTCACAAAGCTTCAGACAGTGCCTGTCATCAATTTTCATCAGGCTGTGGCTGATAAGGACAAGGATTCCAAGGATGCGAAACCTCCGAGCAAGTGAGGAGGCTGCACCCCGGCCCCGCCATCGTCCTCAATGGAGCTTCCCGGCTCACTTTGGCCCAGCCGTTGTGGGACATGGGGAAACCATGCTGTACCATGATGGACCGTGTGCTTCCAGTTCTGGGGACCTTCAGTTTTGGATCACCATCAAAGCCTGTAAGATTTCTGTGTTTCCTCAGCCTGTGGCTTCGTTGACGGTGAACATGGGGAAGGGCTGGCAAGGGTGCAAGGAAGTTCCAGGACTCTTTTTCAAGGTATGGGTTGAAAGACCAGACGGTGGCAAAAACTGTGTGAGATTCGGGCTTGTCGAGAAAACGGCGGGGGCTTCAAAGGGAACAACGTTTTCTGTGGTTTGCAGAACTCTGGGTCCACTACCTGCAAAACTTGTGCCATCTCCAAGTAAGACCAGACGACCAGTTCTAGAGTTTGGGGATAGAGGGCCTGCGATACTACAAAGCCCATCTGGATGCGACCCAGGTTATGACCGGCGACAGGGTGCTCTGAGATGTTTTCACTTGACCCAAGGGCCTGTAATTTCAAGAGCTATGTCAACACTCTGCAGAGGGCCAGTGGCTGCGGATGTTGGCACGGCCAGCTTCATAGCATGTCAGCATGGTGCCTACTCAAATCTCCTAGCCATTTTTGAAGCGTTTGTGCAACGGCTTGGAAAGACCTGACTTTTGGGAATTTCCGTTATAAGTTATATAAGTTATATTGCCGTTTATCCGTGCCGTGAATAGATGGTGATAGGTGCCATGTTTCATGCTGGAGCTTCTTCCCAGTGCCCTTGGCAAGGCTCTTGCAGGTTTGGGCCGCAAGATGCAAGGGAGAAGAATCCCCAGAAGCTGGTGCTAAGATGTGCTAAGGAGTTATTGAAGATGTGAACTATGTGAACGTGCAGCAATGACCACTGGCTAAAGATATTCCGAATGAATATATCCATGAATGTTAACACTATCCTACTGCTCTAGATTTGTACTCGTAGCAGTGACCTCCACTATGCCAGCTATGACCATTTGTGCAGCATGATGCAGCACTCAGCTTGCAGACGGTGGCATTTGATCCCCACCAACTTTAGCAGGCCCTGCTTCAGCGCTATCTGGGCTGTTCGCTTCCATTTATTTTGCACAGAGCGACATAGTCGGACTATCCCCGGATGACGTGTGGCAGGTGGCAGCCACGTCCAAAACGGACTTGTACTGTTGATTGTTGATGGAGGAAATCCGATGCCAACGGATATATATTTATATATAATTATATATATACATATCCCCAACAACAATCATGAAAGATATGAAAGATATGAAAGATATTGAAGGATATTGAAAGGTGGTCAAACTGTGAGAATTCCTCCCTTTATAGCATCGCAGTTTCATGGTCCTCCGGGGCTCTGCATCGAAGGCAGAGGAAACCGCGAGTCCAGGCGAGGTTAGATATTGGCGGAAAAGGCATGCTGTGCGCTGAGATCAGCCACGTTGGTAGGCAGTCACTGGCAGCTTTTCCAACCCTCCAAGCTGCAAATATATATGTTGTATCAGTTGTGTCCTAAACATTCCTAAACTTTAAAGCTTCTGTTTGACGTGCGGTTGAGCAGGGCTCGTGTTTCGTCTTTGCTCGTGGTACTGGTGCTGCTGCTTCAACTCACAAAATGTTGATGAGACTGGACTAGTAGTACTCTTGACTTATACCCTTGCTGATCCACTGCATAGATCAGGCTTTCTGTCGTTTGAGATTCACAGCTGAAAAAGTAACCATGAGCTCCGAAACGGATCTCTGCTGTGCCGCTTGAGTGGTTCAGGACACTAAAACTAGTTTGGATTTTATTGTAAATGCCAAAAAAACAACGGGGAGAGTTCAAGTTTCAATGTTGTAGAAACAGTCGTTCAATACCCACAGGGGGAATCCGGATCCATCCGTCCTTGGGGAGTTGTTGGTTTACTCACTTTTTTGTGAGCAACCAACAACATCCGCATGGACCGCATGGACCGCATGGACCGCATGGACCGCATGGACCGCATGGACCGCATGGACCGCATGGAAAGAAGGTATTCTGAAGCACGGATACCAGACCTCCAGCCGCCAAGACGTGTAGAGGCCTGGTGAGACGGACAAGCTGATGTAAAACAAATGCAAACAAGGACAAGCAGAGACTTTGGGGAGTGCATGTTGCGTATGTTGTATGTCGAGTTGTGATTACGAAGGGTCCACGTTTGCAGCGTGTCAAGGCTACATGATGAAGACATGATGAAGACTTGATGAAGACCTGTGAAGACTTGATCAAGACTGATAAAGACCTGATGAAGACCTGATGAATAAATGATGAAGACCTGATGAAGACATGATGAAGACCTGATGAAAACATGATGAAAACATGATGAAGACATAATGAAGACATGATGAGGACACGATGGAGACATGATGAAATCATGATGAAGACCTGATGAAGGCATGATGAAGACATGATGAAGACACGATGGAGACATGATGAAATCATGATGAAGACCTGATGAAGGCATGATGAAGACCTGATGAAGGCATGATGAAGACATAATGAAGACATGATGAAGACACGATGGAGACATGATGAAATCATGATGAAGACCTGATGAAGACATGATGAAGACATAATGAAGACATGATGAGGACCTGATGAAGACATGGTGAAGACCTGATGAAGACATGATGAAGACATAATGAAGACATGATGAAGACACGATGGAGACATGATGAAATCATGATGAAGACCTGATGAAGGCATGATGAAGACATGATGAAGACATGATGAAGACCTGATGAAGGCATGATGAAGACATGATGGAGACATGATGAAGACATAATGAAGACATGATGAAGACACGATGGAGACATGATGAAATCATGATGAAGACCTGATGAAGGCATGATGAAGACATGATGAAGACATGATGAAGACCTGATGAAGGCATGATGAAGACATGATGAAGACATGATGAAGACATAATGAAGAGATGATGAAGACATGATGGAGACATGATGAAATCATGATGAAGACCTGATGAAGGCATGATGAAGACATGATGAAGACATGATGAAGACATAATGAAGACATGATGAAGACACGATGTAGACATGATGAAATCATGATGAAGACCTGATGAAGGCACGATGAAGACATAATGAAGACATGATGAACACCTGATGAAGGCATGATGAAGAGATGATGAAGACATGATGATGACATGATGAAGACATGATGAAAACATGATGAAGACATGATGAAGACATAATGAAGACATGATGAAGACCTGATGAAGACCTGATGAAGGCATGATGAAGACATGATGAAGACATGGTGAAGATGATGAAGCCTGATGAAGGCATGATGAATACATCATGAAGGCATGATGTAGACATGATGAAGACATGATGAAGACCTGATGAAGGCATGATGAATACATAATGAAGACATGATGAAAACATGATGAAGACATGATGAAGACCTGATGAAGACATGACGAAAACATGATGTAGACATGATGAAGACATGATGAAGACCTGATGAAGGCATGATGAATACATCATGAAGGCATGATGTAGACATGATGAATACATGATGAAGACCTGATGAAGGCATAATGAAGGCATGATGAAGACATGATGAAGACATGATGAAGACCTGATGAAGACCTAATGAAGACATGACGAAGACATGATGTAGACATGATGAAGACCTGTTGAAGACCTGATGAAGGCATGATGAAGACATAATCCAGGCATGATGAAGACATGATGAAGACATGATGAAGACATGATGAAGACCTGATGAAGACATGACGAAAACATGATGTAGACATGATGAAGACATGATGAAGACCTGATGAAGACCTGATGAAGGCATGATGAAGGCATGATGTAGACATGATGAAGACATGATGAAGACATGATGAAGACACGATGTAGACATGATGAAATCATGATGACGACATGATGAAGGCACGATGAAGACCTAATGAAGACATGACGAATACATGATGTAGACATGACGAAGACCTGATGAAGGCATGATGAATACATAATGAAGGCATGACGAAGACATGATGAAGACATGATGAAGACCTAATGAAGGCATGTTGTAGACATGATGAAGACATGATGAAGACCTGATGAAGGCATGATGAATACATAATGAAGGCATGATGAAGGCATGATGAAGACATGATGAAGACCTAATGAAGGCATGATGTAGACATGATGAAGACATGATGAAGACCTGATGAAGGCATGATGAATACATAATGAAGGCATGATGAACACATGATGAAGACATGATGAAGACCTAATGAAGGCATGATGTAGACATGATGAAGACATGATGAAGACCTGATGAAGGCATGATGAATACATAATGAAGGCATGACGAAGACATGATGAAGACATGATGAAGACCTAATGTAGACATGATGAAGACATGATGAAGACCTGATGAAGGCATGATGAATACATAGTGAAGGCATGACGAAGACATGATGAAGACATGATGAAGATCTAATGTAGACATGATGAAGACATGATGAAGACCTGATGAAGGCATGATGAATACATAATGAAGGCATGATGAAGACATGATGAAGACATGATGAAGACCTGAAGGCACATGAAACAAGAACTCCACTCATGTGGGTTTGGGTACCAAAAATGTGCTTGTCACGTGACTGGAGGGGACCATCACTGCCGAGAGCCCAAGTGAATTTATGGCAATCTAGTGGCGTATAGAGAGTACCCGAATATTTGTTCCAGGGTTAAAACCTTGTGGTATAGCAGTAAAAGAGACCGCCCTTATCCTCGACCTTAGCGAAATATGGTCACTGAAAGGCTGGGGTCCCAGTGGGGTTCACCGGGTTCAATCGGCAAGGCGATAAAGGCATGCACCTTGAACAGCAGGGAGAGTCAGCAACTGGAGGTGATTGATGAAAATGATGAAAGCAATTGCCGAATTGCCCAAAACAGCCTGAATAATGAGCCAATGATGGTCCATGATGGTTGTTGCATGTTGTTGCACATCCTGTTCAACTGTTTAATGGGTTCTTCCTATGTATGAGTGCAATCGTCCAGCACAATGGTCTCAGAAATGAGCAGCATTCAAAAGATACATCGCAGGAATGTTGAGTAGAGTTGAACGAAGAAGTGATGATGTTGGGTGATATGAAACTTGGAAGGTGTGCGAACTGTTTGAAACAGCTGAGGTATCCAGAACTTTGCAAAATGGGTCGCTCAGAAGATATACTCAGAGCTGAATTTGACCTCATTGTTTGAGTTGTGATGCACATTTTTTTCCAAACGAACGTGCTCAAAATTCGTAACACTTGACTGGAGGACAAATTAGAGAGTTGGCATTTTTTATTGCTATCATTGCACTGGACAAATTGGACAACATGTATACTCCGTCGTTTCCCAGATTTATATAGATGAGTGATTGTGATGCTCAGAAATTCTCAGTGCAACTAAGTTAGTAGCTAAAGTATCCAAACTCCACAAACTTTGCAGCTCTTGGCCATTTTTGACCTAAGGCGTTTGACAGTGTAGAGATCTATGCCTTCGGCTCGTCGGTGAATGGCTTTGGGGATGATTCTTCAGATGTAGACCTGGTCGTGTCGATTCCTGAGGCGTGGGATGGGCCATAGACATGGAGCTTTGGAACCAGAGTATTTAAATGTATTTAAGGGATACGAAATGATACGAATACACAACGAATACACACATGTTCCATACATACAGAATCAGACACCTAGAATGATGATGGTATGATGATGGTATGATTGTATAAGTATGTGATGTGATGTGGTGTGACGTGATGTGGTGTGACGTGATGTGATGTATGCAAGCTTCAAAGACAACAGGTCAGCCACCCCGCTCTCTTCCATGTATCTCATCTTGCCCCTGGAATTATCTTCAACTGCAGTGGAGTTCTTGAATTCTTGTGAATTGCCAGTGAGATTCCCTGTTTTCACCAGGAGGAACTCAGGAGGATCTGGAAGAAAACGCCTCGGAGGGATTTGGCCCGGTTTGCTTTGCAAGATCTCTCGGAATGGTTCAGGGAGAAGGCTCAGGCACAGCTGGGTGGGCTACGAGGACCTGATAATTAAACTTCTGGTTGTTTGAAAGGGCTAAATTGGAAATTCATGGAAATTCCTTCAAACTAGTTTCAACAAATCGGAACCTCTGAGTTTCTGATCAGATGCATTTGCAATTTCCTGTTTCTTTCGATTTTTCGAAGTACTACAAGTTCAACTGTTTCGTGCATACTCTGCACATGAGAAACAGGCGTACTGAAGAGGGTGTACACATATTACTGTATGTATACATATATTGATATAGACGTATTTTTACATATAATTATGTATGTATTTGTAAGTGTGTAAATCAATATACTTGATTATACTTGTGTCGGTTGCATAAACATGCTTGTCAACTGACGCCCTGCATAAATGAATCGTCCTGCTTGAAAAGGTATGAAACAAAAACGCATCATTCAATATCTTGCAAAACAACTGCAAGGCAACCAATTCTGTACATTTCTTTCGTTTCATGTGTGTTGATGCATTTTGGGGTTGCTTAGATTCTTAGATGGTTTGCTTAGATGGTTTCAAATGTTTTCAAGGACAAGGGTGACAAGGGGTTTTTGGCATTGAATTCCTGCGCCTGAAATGCCACACTGTCCACGCTGTACGACGTTTGCCAGGGACAAATCGACGTGTTGGAGGAAGTCCTGGGTGCCAAGGTCCCTTGAGACGGACAGGGAACCTAGGGCAAACCGCAAGCGTTGAAGTCACCGGATTTGTTTTCTCTTTTAAACGTTTGAAACATTTCTTTAAAACTAAAATATGATATATTTGATCTTGTTATGTTTCTTGTTATGTTTTTTTATTACAAAGCATTATAAAGCCATCAACCGCAATCTTAAAGCCTTGCTAGAAGTTACCTTGCCCTGTGACTTGGTCATGTGGTTTGCAGTGTACCGACAAAAGACAAAAGGATTTCCGTTTACAATCCGCGCCGTATGAACAATCCTTGGCCAGTGTTTCGTCGACATGGTTCCTTTGTCAATGGTGTTGGTAGATGTTTTTTGGCGCCAATCTGTTTGTAAGAAAAAATGATGCACTGCAAAGCAGCGTCGTGACGCGTGACAGGTACCGATCTTGAAGCTGAACGTAGGTGGAGCTAACTCCTCAGTACCAGAGCGAACACCTCAACTTTGAACTGCTAGGAACAGAACTAATTCGTGGCGGTGTGTGCCAGACCAATCCACTTGAAGACCACGCGTTTGGAAGAATGATCTGTTTTTAACTTGCAGAGTTTTCACTGTAGATATGTTGGCTGGGCGACCGTGTTCTATGCCCTGAAAAAGACGGTTGCTGATCACAGGTTGAGTGTGACTTGTCGTGCAACAACCTCCTTCCAGTCTTCAACTCCCAACTGCTCCGGCTTTATGCGGAGCCATGGTTGCACGGGCACGGGATGGAAAGGTGTGGCAGATGGAGAATCTTGGGGAAATTTAAGGCAAGAGGTCCCTGGGTCCCTGCTGAAGTTGACTAGCGATGCCGATTTCCATAGTGGAGACCTTTCAAGAATCTTGATGCAATGAATCTAACACATCTTTTCTTTGGTCAGCAGTCTGAAATTCTATTTTGGGATTTCATAGCAAGATCACACTGAAGTGTATCAACCCAAGGAAGAGCGCACGGATGTCAATCGACAAAGCAATTAGACATTGACTTGCACCAAGACAATCCAAAACAGGCATACGGCATATATGACTTGTATCATCTCGTATCTTCTATCAGAATGGGGAACCCAATTGCACTCAATTGCACTCAATTGCACTTGTATCATCATCGGCACCTCAAAGATCTTCAAAGTGCAAAATGGGCTGTTCAGCTGGGCAGCTGCCTTTTGGCAGGACAAAGAACCTCGCGTAGTCCAGCTAGCGCAGGAAGTGAAGTCCTGGGCACGTAAAGAGGTGCCTGCCACATCTTGCCACCGCAAGTTCAATTTCCAACATGGAAACCAACGTGATAACATGTGATAACCAATTTCCAACATGTCCCTCTGGGCTGTTATTTTTGGGCACTGTTTAAGTTTCGCACCAAACATTCATCCACGATGCATCCTTGAGGCAAGTTTCTGTCTGAGGGTTCTTGAATAGGGGATCCCCAAAAGCATGGGTTTCAACACTAAAATGGTCTAATTCAGGATGATTTTCGGCACCCTCCATTTTAGAAAGCCTCCCAGTGAATTGCATGATGTTGGTGTTGGGTTTTGAAATGTTGGAACTGCTGGTCAGGGAGTGCATGGAGCGTTTATGGGGCAGCTATCTTCCTACTCCTTTGTGCTGCTGACCATTTTCTACATGCAGTGCAAGTCTCAGAGACCAAAAAGAAATAAAAAGAAGAGTTCCAGGGACATTGCTTGTTTCAAGATTTGAGCCGAACCCTCAAATAATCATTACGGAAGGCGGCAATGTATTGATGAGCGGGATGATGATCACAATCTTATTTGGAGTGATGTTGAAGCTGTTTTGACTCTATTGATGTCAAAATAGGCCAGAGAATACACTTTCTTCCATTTTGAGACTGCCGAGATGGCTCCTTCCGTGGACCGAGGAATAGAGGAGCCTTGCCATGCTTGCAAAAAGCTGCAATAGGGGAGCCTTCTGAATTGTATTACTACGAGAGAAACAAGGCTGGCTGGGCTGGTTGGGCTGGCTGGGAGTTCGCCGCTGTTGTGGGCTGCACTGTACAAAAAGATGAGCAATGGGAGACCCTGATAGGCAAATCTGACGAAACTCGTTTGGGTAGGTCTCAGGAGAGTTTGCCAGTTGGCTGAAAAAAACCATTTAGTTTGAGACCCGAAGTATCTACCCTCCAAGTGCAGGTTCGCTCATGATACTCCGAGATAACAAGCTAAGCGACTAAGAAGCACCATATCAAGTGGCACAAGCTTTAGAAGTATGGGGAAAGCCACTAGCTTTCTAGGTTCGTAAGCGTTGAATTATCTAATGAAATGTGCGACAACTCAATGGCTCTCCCGATCTCCACCCATCCAGAAGTCTATGCCTTTGGCCTGTTTGAGACATTTTGAGACCAGGAGTTCAATGTTTGGATGAATTTCGATGCTGAGCCAGCGCCGGGAGATATGGCTGGCAAAGCCGTGGGAACCCTGAGCAACTTGGAGATGGTTGGTGAACGATGGAGAAGATATGATCCAAATATATCCAAATACTGGTGATAGAATGATCCAATGAAACACCATGGTACCATTTGCATACCGTTTGCAATCGTAGAGTGAAGGGAGCTTATCGCCAAGGTAGTATATTATATAATGGTTGCCAGGTGTTGCACTTACAATAAGGTATATAATATCACCCACAGATGCCGTGTGTTGCCCAGACATAAAAATTGAGGATGTTGTGTTGTCGAATATGATAGTAGAGATTGCAGAAAATACTGTGTATACGCAGTGTTTTCTGGTTTAGGATTTAAAGTTTTCAGGATTTAGGGTTTAGGGTTTAAGGTTTTAGGGTTTAAGGTTTTAGGGTTTTAGGGTTTAGGGTTCGTCGTCTGGGAAATCTCAAGACACTGGCCCTGAGCAGGTGTTTGAGCATGTTGAAGGATAATGCTTAAACGCCATTTGAACCTTCCGGGCAACACACAGCGCCTGGCCGTAATATTATGATAGAAGTTATATAAGATTATATCTGATTGTATAAGGCTTAATAACCTTTACCAGGGCATCGTGAGGGGCTTTGACAGTGGAAGGTGCTGAGGGTCCTGTTGCTTTGCAGCTTTTGTGGGGATCTGTGACGTGGGTGTTGAAGCTGCCGCGTCAAGATGCTGTCTCCGCCGTCCCATGTGCTGGTCAGATACTGTTTTGGGGTGGTGATTGAGAATATCTTCAACTCTCTTTGCACACAGCAAAATCAAACTTCCAGCAGACTTTTTCGGAGACAGTTGAAGGGTGAAATGCAAAAGACACCAGATAATGGAGGTTGCACTTGCCAGATGCGTGCTCAGCATCAATACGTCTTAACAGCAGCGCTCGTTGCTTTTCTATCTCTTGGTCTGGGACTGGTGCATAACGGATGCAAGGCATTCAAGAGTTGGAACCCTTAATGCTTTTGGGTACACGAAGTCAGTTTGGGGACTGTGCTGCTCAACAAGTTGTTGGTTGCTTCGTCAAGTCATCTCTTGTGGCATCTCATTGCAGGGAGACCATGCTTTGTGAATGTCGGATTCTGTACCAGGTACCACATTTGAAAAGCATCCCAAAACCATTTGTCACACGGTTATACCGATCATACACTACAGATGTATATGTATGTATGCATACATGTATATATATATATGTATGGTATATATATATACAGTATACACATACACACACACACATAATATACATATATTTTTATTGAACCCATGTCTGAGGTGACTTTGCCTGGTTCATGACTCAGGAGAAGGCAACGCAAGTAGCCTGCTGTAAAATGTCATCGTGGCTTGTTGGCCGCTTGTTGGTTTGTAGCAACCATTCAGATTGTTCAGATATCATTAATCCTTTGCATCCCTGTCCCTTGACGTCCATTGCAACTGGGTCATGAAACATGCTCGACGTTTCTAGTTCCTTCGTTCATCTTTGTCCATTAGGTTCCTGTTTTACTTTTTTCTCTTTAGGATTCAACGTTGTCCGTGTTCAGGGCTTTGTCTGGGGCGAGCACGTGGTCTCGGTGCGCGAGGGATGTATCCTCAGTTTGGATGACTTCCCGCCGGGTACCTGGTGCGCCGACATTTGATTGGCTAAAGCTCCACCGAAACGACTTGGGAATTCTGAGAAACAGAATCGTCAGAGATCGTCAGAGGGTCTCAAATCGCTTCGCGCTTTGGTTTGTCACGCAATTGTAGCCATTTGCAGCCTTGAGTTCTCAAATTTAGCTGCGGGAGAGGCCAACCAAGTTGAAGTTCTGCGATGTCTAATATCTGTACCAAGATGTTTCCTAAAGGATCCTTTGGCGGTATTTGGCGGTGGTGTTTCTGTTTCTTTCCAAGGGCGATGTATTTGGCGCCCAAGGCAGCTGTCCATTCGGCATGTTATCGATGACGTAACTTTGCACATCGAGGCTCGAAATATCGAAATTTCTCGAAATTCTCGAATTGTTTTCGCCGAACTCAGCCTGGACATGTGAGACACAGAATAAGGCCACAGAACACCATGTGAAGGAAATTAAAGGAATCCCAAAAGAGTGCCTGCAGAAGTTGCCCACGAGGATGTTAAGTTGAATTAATAGTCTCAGCCACATCTGCTGCGGTTTCATGCTCATCAGCTTCTGGTTTTCAGATATCTACTTGATTCTATTTATATTTGAAGAAATTTGATGAATTTTGAAGATACATTCACTTCGGGGCATTGCAGGATCCTTTCGACGTAAGTCGAAACCTGACCTGCGTCTTTGGACACAACGCGAACAGGACACCGTTGCCCACATTGGCCTGTGCTTGGGTTTGGCTGTTGCCAGATTAAACTGATGACCATTGTCTCAGATATATATCCACATGAGCCGAAAGATTCCTTCCATGTGTCATACGTTTCTTGCACGCCTTCGGCGTCTTCCAGACCTTTCCCAAACTTTGTCTTCTTACCTTGGAGTTTTCCGTCAACGGAACCCTGTCCCAGGTACCCAGCACATCCCAGCGGCATCCCAAGGGCATCTCAATTCGTTGCCGCAGGAATTTGTGGTGGGCCTTGGACCGCTTGGCTCGTGCTACTGCTTCCCCTTCTGGAGAGTTAAGGCTGCCATGCAATCTGTCCTGAAAGACAGTTCACCGGAGAAGTGCCGCGATCCTTCAAATGAGATGCGGAGTATTTAAAGCTCAGAGCCACTGCAATAGCTTGGGCTCAACAGGGCATGTTGAGAACTAAGCGGCAATGTGCTCTCCGGGAAATATAGAAGATTCATGACCTGAAATATGCAACATTATGCAACATTCTCAGGACAAATCTGCAAAACTGCGCCCTCCTTCCCAAACAATTATTCGGATACTCTCCGACTTCCATTTTCATACAGTAGTGACGCCGTTTCCCCACTGTGACTGCTTCTTGTAGCTGCCAGCACGTCTGCCAGCAGCAGGTCTTTCACTTTCGAGACAGATGAAACTTCTCCGGTCGAAAGACAACAAACTCCTGACGACAGAGACGAACGTACTCGGGTCTTCGCCCAGCCCAGCTAGCATCTCAGTTTACTGTGGACAAGCAGACCATGACCCGATCAGCGAAGCCACCTTTTTAGATTTTTTAGGGCTGCTTTTTTTGTGAGGCCCTTTGATTGTGGATGACCAGTTTTTCCGTTGGTCGAGGAACGAATCACAATTCCAGAACAACTAGCTAAACAAGTTCAAACTGCCAGTTGAATCAGCGACTTTCAGCTGTGGTGTTGGCTGTTCTGTGATACGAAATGATACAAACATGTCCAGAATTCGAAGACTGCCACATAATAGTTTGGACGGCCGTAAGGGAGCTAGCCCAGAGACCCTGAAGTCAAACATTATCCCAAAGGCTGCTTCAGAGGAATGAACTGAGATAGTGGCAGGCAGCGTGTATCGAAGACATGTCTTGCCATGAGCCAAGAACCCCCCTTCTGAACTTAATTAAAGTTGCAAAGTTGATCCATGAAACAAGCTCCGGCAACGAGGCACGTATACTCCTGACATCCAAGAGAGTGCAGAAGAGACAAGTTGCCTGGCATGAAGTGATCGGTGACACACGGTGACACATGCAACATATGCTGTTGCAAAGATATCTTCAGAGACTGAGCCGCCTGGAGCTTCATTCGTTCCCGTTCAAGGTGGAGTTCCCGGCGGGTTTATGTGTGACACTCTTTGGATCTCTTTGGAATAACAATTTTGCATTCCGCTTTGCTTCTCGAGCTTCCGCTTCCCTCGCTTCCACTTCGCAGTGCGCTCACTCTCTTATTACAGTGACTTGAGGCTCAAACTTCCCACCTGTACAATCACGCACGGCAGCAGAGGAGTGGCTAGAACAGGACTGAGATGGGATGCATATATGCTTCTTGAGCTATTGAAAGGCTTTACTCTCTTGCACAGGGATTGCGCCAACCTGGTCATTTCCAAAGTAGACAAACTGATTGACACAGTGAGCGATGTTGTGTTGACTCCGTCAGGGGCTGAACCATGTTTCAAGCAGCGAGAAGAAGATCTTACTCGTACGGGTACCCCATAGCCCCAGGTTCACATTTAAAGTACATTGCCTAAACATACTTGGGTTGAAGATGTTGAGGTGTGTATCACATGGCCTTGAAATCCACACACACACATGACCCTGTAGCGGTAGCCACACCCCCTGCAGGGCAAGAGGCTCAAAGAGGCGCAGCGGTGGGGCCATTTCACCCCGATACAGATGAACATTAAAAAGCACGTATCACCTGTATACTGTATATATATATATATTATACTATATACTGTATATGCGCAAGGCCTGGGTTTAGGGTTTACTGTTTTGGAAGTTCAGAAACAGTGGGCTTGCGCAGGAATGTGAGCATTGGGAAGCAATAACGATTGCGCAGTTCTTGATATGTATATATATATATGTATATATATATATATTCACACACACACACGTATGTACGTACATACGTACGTACGTACGTACGTACGTACGTACGTACGTGTGTACGTAATGTATGAATGTATAGATGTATGAATGTATGAATGTATGGTATGGTACGGTATGGTAAGGTATGGTCAGGCAAGGTAAGGTAAGGTAAGGTATGTATGTATGTGTATGTACGTGCGTGCGTGCGTGCGTGCGTGCGTAGGTAGGTAGGTAGGTAGGCAGGCAGGCAGGCAGGTAGGTAGGTAGGTAGGTAGGTAGGTAGGTATATATATCAATTATATATATATACACATACATACATACATACATACATACATACATACATACATACATACATACATACATACATACATACATACATACATACATACATACATACATACATACATACATACATACATACATACATACATACAACATACATACATACATACATACATACATACATACATACATACATACATACATACACATATCTACAAGTATATCGACATAAACAAATATGTCTATATTCAGGATAACAATGATTTTTATTCCTGGGAAATCAGCAGCTTCTGGGTAATCCAAAAAAGACTTCACGGTCTACAGGGATGTTGCATGAAGTTGACGGTGCAGATGCTTTTTGTATTTTGATGCGGATGTCATGTCATCCTGACAGATACTGTATACTCATCTCTTGGATGTCATGGATATCGGAGATAGCCTAAGCTTGCCCAGAACCTCAGCCAATTACTGGCCTGATGTAGCTCGCCGGGTAATCATGGCAATCTGATGCAATCTAATGCGATCTAATGGAATCTAATGGAATCTGATTCATGGTCGAAGCTGCAAAGAATTTGCAAATGTTTTAGCGTCTCTGTTCGTCTCAGTTGCATGCAATCAAATGCTCTCTCGCCAACACTGCAAACTCTGAAAGAGATAAGCCGATAAACCTTTCAAGGCACATGTTGTAGTCATTGTAGCACCTGTCATTGTTTCCCTTTCCTTTTTCGGCGGATGAGGCCTCACAAAAAACACATGGAATATTGAATCGTACATAGATTGGGTCTGAGGTTTTGATGCTCCTTTGTTTCCCTCTGGCCTCCTTTTGGAACAGATCTTCTATACAGATCACAAAATGGAGCAAGAAAGCACAAGTCAGTACATGCGAGCTATGAACTATAGCGATGATGGTAATTCAGAGGAAGAAAGAGGGTGGCAGATATAGTTCCATAACATGTCGTTTCCATTGATTTTGGGCAATTTCCTGTCGATTTTCAACACCTGACCACTTTCCAGTGTATAGCAATAACATGAACACTTCAGCTGCAAATTCCATGCTTTGATCCAGAGTGTTTAGTTTCATAAAGGCTTAGACTTTGAGCCACAGGCAGAGGAAAGAGCAGCAGAGAGCAGCAGAAAGAAGGATGAGTGGAGCTCAGCTGCTTATGGGAAAAAATGTTTACTGGCTGGGTTCTGGACAGGGACCGGGGTTTGATGGAAGATGGAGAAATGATGAAATACGTGAATGTGCCTGGAACTCACTTTCAATAGTAGCTTGGTTTCACTGCACATGTTTTGAGACGCAGAAAGTGATTGAAGCAACAGGATTCCCACTGCAAACTGACAATCCTCCTACACATCAAATGTCGGAAAGTTGACTGACTTCAGCCCAGTATAGATGAAGAGGTGAGCGAAACAAGTGCCTTCAGAGGCTGCATTCAACCAGTAGAGCTACCCAACGACCATGCTGTGAAACCTGGCATGGTTTTGCGGACCTTTTTGGGGACAAGGATCATACACACATATATGTATATTTTTATATAAATAATGTATGTATATTTATATATACCATAGAAATCATATAAATCATAAACAAGCATTTATCGCTGCAATCCAACATCCAGCATCCTCACCTCGCCGTTCAGCGATCTCCGGGGCAGTTTGCCCCACATTTAACACTTATCTTGCAAACTTAAGCAAGATACGACAGCTCGATACAGACAGCTTATGAATCGTGTCAATCCAGGTTTTGCATCCTGATTTTTTTTTGTTGAGCAAAGCAAAATTTAGGTTCCCCAAACAAACAATGGAATAACAGGCAAAACACATCACATCATAGCATGCCCGCACCACTAGCTTTGCTCCAGCATCCACGGTTTGAGCATTTTGTTGCATTTACTGGACTTCACTTCAGTGAACAGATCAGTTGAGCATCACCCGGTCTCAGCTGGCGCGACTCGCACGCGCAGCTCATCGTCTCAGCCAATCGTGCAGCAATTCTTGTGACTTGGTGAAAGGAACCACATGAAAGACCAACACTCTGCAAGCATGTTCGGATTGGAAGCTGAAAGCCTGACATTTGCCTATCTACCTGTACCTATTGGCCAATTGGCATGGTACATAGTACCCATAGGAGAATCTTTTTTTTCACACCTCTCAGAGGTCACAAGAGAGTCATAAGAGCTATCTTTGCTCCAGGTACAGATGGTGCAACCGCCCATGCTGCCGATTCCCAATCGCAGAGACGCCGACACATGGCCTTTCTCTAGGGAGGTTTAGATGGCCACCTGAGGGTCAGGTTGCCACACGAGGAGATAGCGATTTCATGCGATTTCTTTCCACCTCTGTATTATTGGTTATTGCATTCATACCTCTGTGAATGATTCTTGGGACAATTTGTCCGTATGCTTCCATTCAGACAGCTAGCTGGATTTCCAAACATCAACGCAAGGATGCATACTTTAAAACGTTTTAAACATGGTGATTGATTCCATCCAATACCAAATATTCAATGATACCATTGAAGAGGGTTCCTCGGTTGGGCAACAAATTGTGTTGCAGGCAAGGATTGATTCAGACTATATTAAGACTTATAGCTTTGTTTCACCTTGTTTCAAAGAATTTATCTGCAAGCACACCATCATCATGAATTCCAACCCTGATTTTGATGTGTTTATCTATTTATTATACATTGTATATACACATATGTGTATGACATACAATTTTAATCATTTTATTTGGCAATCAATCAACGAGAAAGTACCTGCCAAGCCAAGGACATAATTTCAGCGGCAGACCAGGCCCGCCGCAAACAGCAATCTTGCTAGAGGAAGCGAAGAAAACTGAACGATGACTGGCACTCTTGGAAAGTAGAGGTCTTGCGGAAAGTAGAAGAGGTCTTGGTGAACGCTCCACATTGTTTCCTCGCTAGGTGTATTGGTGTTCCCCCTTGACCTCTGTGAAATGACTTGGACTTCAGGTTTTGAATGTTCATAATTTCAGACTGCTCAGTGAGGCTCAGTGGTTCAAAAACCAAACGATCCAACCGATTCAGAAAAAGACACGCGATAAAACATGTTCGCTGCAACCCTGACATTTGCCCATGACGGAATCGTTGAAAGTTGAAGGGTTGCGTCTCTTAGAACTGCTATGTCAGTGGACTTTCGACATGTAGATGTATATGATATGTGATCCATCCTTCTCGGATGTTGAAGATGTGTTGAATTAGATATCCATCTCTCTCCGTTCTTTTTTGGCTTACGCGTGCACTCAGAGTCGACGCGTTTCTAGGGATCCTCCTTAAGCATCCTTAAGCCTTATTTGTGTCCAAAGAAAG